CAATTACAATCATCCATTATTCGTATCTCCCAGACAGCCCTGGGGCCAGGCCTCACATTCACCGAGTGCTCCATTCAGGCTTTTTCCGTTAACTCCGATGACGCAATCTGTAAGCTTTCTAAGTACACCACGCGTTTTAGTCTCTCTCTTTTCCTTCCCTTTGTTTGTTTTTTAACCTCTTCAAACGCCTTCGGAAATGGCCAATTCGCGCAGCTGGGGCTTGGGGGCGCGAGCGCACCTGCGGGATTGTGACCGCTGCCCCGCCCCACTCCTCCTGGCCCCGCCCACCTTCTCCCACCTCCCTCCCTCCCCGTCCCCACCTCCCTCCCTCCTGGTCCCCACCTCCCTCGGCGGAAGAGCGCCCATGGATGTGGGCGCCACTCAACCATTCGTTAGGCTCCGAAACCTGTGCGGGGCACCTTGGAATGAAAGGTCTCGTGATCTAGGCCCCGCTGTGCGGGAGACTCCATGCATTGATTCCTTCATTGAATGAACTGATTCATTCTTTCATTCAGTTCGTCTCCACTGGACGCCTACTTTATGCCGGATGCCAGATAGAATTTGTGGTGCTCAGTTAACAGATGCACACCCTGAAATTCAGAGAGGTGAACGTCTTGCCAGAATCAGGCAGGTTTCGTGCTCTGTCTCCCTGACACGTGGTGGTGAAATTGTTAAACACTGGTATTTACTAATGCTCACGGTCAGCCAGGGCATCTGACCTACCCCTGGACTTGCCGGGTCCCATCCTCCCATCCGAGGTTTCGCTCCAGAGCCCCTGTAGTTGTAGTCAGTGTTGGAGACCTCTAGCTTTCAGACTGGGGAGGAGGGCCACACCTGGGCTGTTTGCAGAGGTCAGGGCAGCAGAGTAGGCGGAGTGCCCACCGTGTGCCTTGGCTTCCAGAGTAAGGACGCAGGGAAGAGTCATAAGAAAGGAAGATCTTAAATGCTCTCACCAGGAAAAAAAAAAAAAAAAGACAGACATGCCAGGTGCTGCAGGTGTTAAGTGACAGACACCAGTGTGTTTATCACTTCCCAGTGTATCATTTCTCAATATGTAATTGTATCAAATCAACACATTGTACACCTTAAACTTACAGTGTCCATTATATTTCAACAAATGAAACTGGGGACAAAAAAAAAAAAAAAAAGAGAAAGCCCCTGGGCAAGGCAGGAGCAGAGTGAGTTCACAGGAAGGTAAGAGGGTTCTCAGAGCAGGTCATTCAGGCACTCACTCCCTCACTCACCAGCTCCTTCTCTGTTCATTCATTCACTCCTTTATCACACTGATTCATCATTCACCTACTCACTCACACATGCATCCTTTTACTCATTAATGTACTCATCATTTATTTGGTCCCTACCTGGAGCTGCAGGTACAGGGCTGGAGCACAGACACTGAGAGGGGGTGGGGAGGTCTGGTCCCTGCTCCCAAGGAGTACAGAGCCTCGCTGGCAGCCAAGTACGGGCAGATCAACACAACGCAAGATAATCAAGGTGTATTTATGATCAAACAGGGCAGGGAGGTATTTCTTTACACCCCGCCGTGGCCCAGTAAACTTAAGGCAAGCGCAATGACGTCACCGGACAGGATGATGACAGCCTGAGGCTGCATCCCTCTAATGAGCACCTAGTGGGACTGGCCACCATGTCACCTGATGCTCACGCTTAGACACATGCACAGGGACGGGCACAGGAGCCCCAGGCCCAGCGCAGAGCCTGGCACAGAGGAATTGCCCAGGGGATATTTTTATGTCTCAGAGGCAGAGGGTGGTGTGGGGCGGGGCGGGAGTGCGTAAGCCCCAGGTTCTAACTGCCTGGGTTTGCATCTCCACCACTTCCCAGCTCCGGAGCTTTGCATGAGACATTTAGCCTCTTTCTTGGTCACTCACGTTCCTCGTCTGAGACATGGGAAAAAGGACAGTCGTTACCTCATCGGTTTGGTGTCACGATTCAACGGACCCTTAGCACAGTGGTTGACTCAAAGCAAGCGCTTAGTAACTGGTGGGAATTACTGCTTATGAAGGAATAGTAATGGTTACTTTTATTAGGCTGTGCCTTCACTGTCAGATATTGTGCCAACAACTTTGCACGTGTCACCTGATTGAACCTGGTGACCAGTCCTCTGAACTGTCCCTTCTACAGCTGGGAACACAGGCTCTCAATGTGATGGGAGCAGAGGATGACCACAGCCCAGCACTATATACTCAATACGGTTATGAGCTCGCAGGCAGTAAAGATGACGAGACCCACAGTTAGTAACATAGGGAGGTGTCTACTAAGTGAGGAGAAAAGTAAACTACGAAATAATATTAACAGCACGACCCCATTGTGTTTCTGGGAGGGGGTCATTAAAACGTTAACAATGATGATCTCTGATTAGTGGGATAAGGAGTTCCTTTAAGTTTCCCTTTTTAACGTTTTGCTCTTTTCTGATTTTCCTCCGATGGGGATATGAAAACCCACTCTTTCTGTAATTAAACTCAGGTTTTAATGGTTTTAAATTTTTGTTTAAGAAAGTCCCCAGTGTTCAACTCAGCTTTCCTGCACAGGAAGAAAGCAAAAAACAAAAGTATCCTCACTGCTTTCAATTTTCCCTTTTTTGGGGGGGGGGCAGTGCACCGAGGGTCAGTTTTCCCTTTAGACACAGGTCACATCTTGGGGACTGAGGTGGAACCGTACAATATGTCATCACCCTGGAGCCAGGCGGACTCGGGTTTGCATTCCGACCTTAGCACCTGCCTGCTGTGTGACCCGCTACGCAAGCTGCTAAATCTCTGTTTTGTCCTTCCTAAGAAGGAGGTGACACCCAGCTTATAGGATCGCCGTGAGGATTCAGACAGACGAGGCCTGAACAATCACGCCCTGCCTGGCATGTGGAGAATCCCCCACCACTGGTGACAAGAGTTATTATGACAACAATAATTTATTTTGGTCAGAATGGAGTGCATGCCCTCATCACTGCTCAACTGACAGAGGCAACTGCCGGGGAGGGAGCGGGGTCTGGGGGGAATGTCTCCCTCAGCCCCTTGTGTTCCTGGACCACGGGCTGGCGCAGCCCACGGACCAGTTTCTTCAGAGGGAGGGGACCACTGGTGACCTGCCGCATGCACAATGTGCGTCTGTTTCTGGCAAGAGTCAAAAAACTCATTTGTGGGGACGGCACAGGGAATATCATCAATACTATTGCAGTGACTATGTACAACGCCGGGGGGGGGCACTGGGAGTATCAGGGGGACCCCTTTGTAAAGTAGGTGACTGTCTAATCACTGTGCTGTATGCCCGAAACTAATACAAAACAATACTGAATGTAATGTGTGATAGAAAAGAATTTAAACTAAAAAAAAAAAATAAACAATAAAATTCCAGAAACAAGTTGTTAAAAATATCAGTGACATGTAGTAATGCAGCTGGAAAGGTCAAGTTCGGGCTGCCTGTCACCGCCCAAACCGGTAAGCAGAGACAAGGCCTGGAGGTTCACGGGCGCTCCATCCAGACGGCCGGCACCATCGCTTCACCCCACTTCTCCCGGGGCCTCGCATGCCTGCCGCATGCTCACCCCAGGCGGCGCGGACTGCAGCACAGACTGTCCCCGTCGCCGCTGTGGCTCTGCACTGTCACCTCTCCTGCAGCCTCCCCGGGAGGAGCCGTTTCTGCCCGCACCCCCACGGCCCCAACCTCTCACCTAACCCCCCACCCCGTGTGGCTGTGTGCTGTAATCCCCGACCGAGAAGTCCTCTTACAGGAAAACACTGTAATCCGTGCTTGGTTAGATCACTGGAAGAATTGGTTTAAGGGACAAATCATAACAATGACACACACATACCGTAAATGTAATGTCAAAACACACTCGCTAGCCTTTGGGCCCTGAAGCAAGGCTACTTCATCGAGAAACCTGCAGTGGAGTTCTTCTTCCTTCTCCGTGCACGAAACCAACCCAAGAGTTTCAGTTTTTGGTTCATTCGACGTGGAGTGAGAACCTAGACACTTTCAGTACGAGTGCAGAATCCTCAAGGACTCCCGCCCACGCCCCCCCGCCCCCCCAAATCTTTCCGGCAGTCTTGTCCAGCGAATTCAGTAGCATTTTGCGGAGCCCGTGGCAACAGACCTTTATCATTTCTCTCCAAAGTGTTCGCCTTAGTGTGACCAGATTCTTTCACTTTCCAATCACGTTTCATCGGCTAACGAAGAAGTCACGTTGTCGTTAGGGCGCAGAGCACAGCTGGCACGAACAGGCTTGGGAACGCACGCGAGTGACCCCCGGTGGGCAGGCAGCCGACGGGATGTTACAGAGGGAAGGGGAGGGTCCGTGAAGGCCGGTTCCCAGACCGGTTCGCTCCCACGTCCACCCCCGAAGTGTCCCCCCATGTTCCTGCGGCCCCAGTGAAGGCCTTAAAGGGCCGGACAGCACGAGGGCACGCCGCCCGGAAGCCCCTTCGCCGTGGCTGATGGCGGTGTCTCTTTGCAGAGGAGCTAAAGGTGGAGTGAGCAATGCCAGGTCCTTAAAAAATCAAGAACGCATGAAACACCTTCGCGTGGGCGGCCCTTCGCTCGACCGCGTGGGGAAATCTCAGCCCTGTTCTCAAGATTATATTCTATTTGGGGAATCGCATCAGGGAACAGCTACCGTGTTTGGAAACTTCCCCAGGTGCCTCTTTCCTGCCTACGTGAGCTCGTTCTGAGCCCGTGGGATCTGCTTGCGCGAGGTGCAGATCTCATGTCTGCAGCTTCCTGAGAAGCTGTGTCGCTGCCAGCCCGTCTTCACCTGGGCAGACTGAGGCCCGCGAGGCGGGGGCTGCACAGCCGCAGAAGGGCAGTCTGGGCAACGGCCTGGGGGGCTTCGGTAAAGGCAGTGCTGAGCTCCAACGATGACTTTCTGAGTGTCCTCACGGGGCTTCTCCCCATCTCCCAACCTCTCTCCTACGGAATTAAACGCCTTCTGGGCCCGAGCCCCTCGCTGGCTGTGCAGCCACAATCAAGGAGAAAGACACGCACAGCAAGAGTTCTGAAAATCAGCTGTTTAATCTCTTTGAACCCAAGGAGTGGGGAAAGACCTAGAACATGTTTTTCCCTGGAGATTTTGTTGATAAGCCTATTGGGTTGGGGGGTGTCCCTTCCATAGGAAACCGACAGTCCCCGTGCCCTTGAGAGTTTGTTCCTTAAAAATGCATAGAAGTGGGTTATTTTCAATTCCTGTGCACCCCACAGATTTCCCCGCCCTTCCCCGCCCACCCTCTGAAGGGGCTCTTTTCCGTAACTGGGGAACAGAACGTAAAAAAATTTTTAAAAAATCTGCCTAAGTGGCCATAGACACCAGAAATAACCAAATGCAGGTGCCTACATCAGTCACCTCGTAGGCAAATGGGGAAGCTCTTCCTCTTGGAATCCAGAGCCAAAAATCACAAATGGCAGAGACTTAAGCTATCGATATAGATACGTGAGCACTCCCTCTCCCGAACACGCCCCTTAATTACAAAAGTATGCAAACAATCTTGATATAAATGGAAAACAGGCAGCCGCTCTCTTCCCGGGGCATGCCGAAAATTCCCTGGGTCCAGGGGCACCTGGACCACTGCCCCTCCCTCTCAGGGCCGAAGGGGAAGGATGAGGGGGAGCAGAGGGGAGCCCGGAAGGTGGACGTCCAGACGGGGGGAGGTGGGGCTGCTTTGCGTCCCCCACCTAAGGCCTCGGGGACGGACGGCCGCCAGCTGGGAGAGGCCGAGACATGATTGGTTCAGGGCTGCAGAGAGAGGTGCTCCCCGCGTGGACTTCAGTGCCCAGACCCTGTCTGGTTCTCCGAGGGTGCCTTCCCAGGCACAACCAGCCCCCCGCCAAGAGGTGCTGCTGTCACACGGCGCAGGGGCTGAGGCACATTGGCGGGGCGGGGGGGCGGGGGCAGTTCGGAGAAACAAAGTGAACTGAGGAAGGGGACCCAGCACCCACCCGGTGACCAACAACTGGGCATCTGCTTCTCGGGAGAGAAAGAAAGCAGGGGCTGGAGGCCTGGGCTCTGGGTCGGGCAGGAAAGCAGGGGGCAGAGCGAGGTTTCACCTGGAGCGCCACATCCCGGGGGCTTGCCTGGGAAGTACCATCCTTTGTTGAAGGCGCCAGGTGGCGAGGGGGGGGTGGTACCTTTAGGCAGCTTGGTCCAGGGCCGAGAGTCCAGGTCTGAGGGCTGGTTGCCCAGGGTGGGGGCCGGGGGGAGGGAACCAAGTGATTAGTGTATCCCAATGGTGGAGGCTGCGAGATTGTCAAAGCCTGGCTGAGAACTGGTCCACGTGGATTCTGGGCTGGTCCCACAGGAGAGGAGGGACTACAGCCCTCCCAGGAGTGGTCCCCAATATCCCCAAGCACCCTTTGCCTGATGCTGGTCTTAGGGCCCCCCAGGAGAAGGGGCACCACGACTTTAGGCAGTGTAACTCGTCTCGAATTAAACACGGGGAATAGAGGTAGCTGCGAAACTGCGAGCCGCCCCTCCCTCTCCCTATCCTCCCACTTTGGGATGCAGCCAGATCCTGGACCAGACAGAGGGCAGGAGGAGACGGGGTGCTGTGCGGGAGGCAGGGCAGGCGGGCTGCCTGGGCCCTGGGCCACGGGGCCGCACAGGGGGTCAATGCATCTTGCCCAGCTGGATCTTCTTCCAGGCCTCCGAGGCCGTGAAGATGCACGAGTCCAGAATGCCGGCGACGGTGAAGGTCCCGCCAATGATGGCGCAGATCTGCAAGGGGGGAGGTCAGAGGTCAGCGCTGGAGGGAGTGCCAAACCAGCCCGCTCCCACATCACGGGGCCGTGAGCTCAGCAAGCCCCACCGCGTGCATATGTGAGCTTGTGCTCTCTACCAGTGGGGTGGGTAGTCATCAAATCATCACACCAACAAATGCAGAAGTGCAACCAAGGCGAGCGCTACCGAGGAGAGAGGGGCCCGAGGTGCTACCAGACAGCTACCAGGACAAAGCTCCTGAGGGCACTATTGTCTTCTGGGACCAGGTGGTTCACTGTGGGGCCGTCCTGTGCATCGGAGGGCGTGCGGCAGCATCCGGGGCCTCCATCCACGAGATGCCCGCAGTCTCTACTCCTTGTTGTGAAAACCAGAACGACTCCAAACCTTGTCCAATGTCCCCTGGGGGCCACACTGGCTCCAGATTAAGAATCGCCGTAGCAGGGGATGACAGTGAGTGTCACCTGGATGCCTGCACTCCGTAACTCCCCGCCACCTAATCACCACAGCAAAACACACAGCGCTGCCACCTTCCCCGCGCCAGGCACGGTCTGAGGTGCTTCACGCCTCCCACCATGGAATCCCCAGACCAACCCGACAGGGCTAGTAGGATTCCTACACCTGCTTTACAGCTGAGGAAACCGAGGCACAGAGACACTGAATCACGTGTCTAAGGCTACAGCAATCGGTGGCCGAGATGGGGCACAAAATGTCGCGGGGTCTGCCCTCTGGACACAACACTACTGCTCCTCGGGCACGAAAATGCTCGCCCGGCCGAACCCCTCCCCCACCGCGGTGAAGTTGTCCGAACCCCACGGGTGATGTGTCAAACCCGTGCTGTGTGTTACTCCACGTGTTCTGACCCACCAATGAGTTCCTTCCTGGTGCCGTGAAACAATCAAAGTATGAAAGGGTGGAAAATAAAGGAAGTCCACCAGAGGTCTGCAAGGGAACTTGACAAGTATTTGCCGCTTGAACACACTTCGCGCTGTTCGTGAGAACCAATACCACCCACACCCGTGTCCCCGGGGAGGGGGGAGAACCTCTTCACTCCTGGCCCCGCGTGGCCCAGAGAGGGAAATAACTTGCCCAGAGTCACACAGCCAAGTGTGCGGCAGAGCGAGTCTGCCTGCCTCCAGAGCGCTCACTAGTCCCCACATGCGACATTTAAACACACTTAAATGACCACAGGACTCAGAAGAAGCCATGTTGGGTGGACCCAGAGGGTTCCCGAGACCACCTTGCAGACACCACTGGGTGGCTGGCCAGCCATGACCCTGGACCCCTGGAGGATTCTGGGAGAGGGTAGCGCCTAAATGGATCCCCTGGAGCCAAGGGGAGGCGGCCAGGAGACACAGCGGAGGCAAGAGGGAAGTGCGAATCGAACCAGCATTTATTTTTAAAGTGATATTTTCTGCGAGATGAGCTAAGCAGCGGCCCGTGAGGCCCAGGGCAGACAGAGCTGGTCTGTACGGATGGGCTGTAAGTGGAGCAGCTGGCGTTCCAGTAATAACAGCCCGAGCAACCGGAGCAGCCCCCCGGGGAGTGGAGAGGCTGGGGGCGCTGGAGGGATTATGCTGAAGTGCTTTCAGCGGGCGAGGCCTCTCCCCGCCGGCCTCGGAGCATGACGAAGGGGCACTTTTCAAGGCAGATGACGGCAGGGGAGCCGGTTTATTTCGGTAGAGCGGATCAGATGATGGGAGATTTTATACCACAAAATGCTTTTAGAGCTTGGATCAGAGGATAGGAAAATGTGACTTCAGTGCAATGGAGCAAATAATGAAAAAATAAAAAAATAACCACACACACACACACACACACAGATCTATATTCATCTGCACACCCTGGAGCCCGAGCACACCCGTGACTCACACACAGCCGGCACCCAGTCCACGGGGCTGGCCCGGAGCAGGAGATGGCACACGCATGGGGGTGCACGGGAGAACAGGGGTGGGGAAACTGAGGCCCTGAAGTGAGCCCCGTGTGAACCCACTGGTGTCCCCCAGCTCAGCAGCACGTCCCCCACCATCCCACATCTGTGGAAGGTGCTCGCCACCGGGCAACTGAGGACAGGAGGCTGACACCGTTTTGGGGGGTGAGGCTCAAAAGCCAAAGGAAATCTAGTAGCCCGCCTGACCTGTCGTGGCCCCTGCCCTCCTCACTGTGTCCACAGGCCTCCCTGACTCGCTCGAGAGGAGGTGACTGGCGTGAGCGGGGCTGTGAGCAGGGGGCCTGGGTGCTCTCGGGCCAGGCGGCCCCCGGGTGCTGGCATGTGGGTGGTCACAGAAACCACATCTGGCCTGGTCCAAGGAGGTGGCCAGGCATGGTCAGGTACGTGCCGAGAAGCGTTTGTGACAGACAGCATGCGTTAGGAGCAAAGCGCTAGGGTCATAGGCAGTGCCGCTTCTTTGGCCCACCTCAGCCCTCTTGCTAAACTCTCCTTTACCCAGAAGCCCGAGGGCCAGAAAACAGCAGAAGTGCCCGACACGCAGTAGGCACTCAGGACAGGTTCCCCGAGGCGGTAAAGGAGTGCTTCAGTGTGAGAGTAAACGGACGCACGAATGAACGAGTGAGCGACTTGCTCAGAAAAGGAGCAGAATTCCATCGCAAGGCCGGGGGGCTGGGGGGAGGGCGAAGGCGACTCACTCACAGGGTGTCGGCCAGGAGCAGGCCCCCCCCACTGCGTGCCCTTGCATCCCCCCGGCTCCCTGGACCTCAGTTTCCCACTTTTACAAACAGGGAGGCTAATCCTTGCTGGTTGGGACGGCTGTGGGGTTCATGAGAGCGTCCGTGACCCTTGCCTGCCTGCTCCCCAGGTCCCTCACCATTGCTATACTTTGCGCCTCCCGACCAGGCCCAGGCAGTGGGACAACCTGCAGGTGTGTGTGTGGGGAGGGGAGGGTGGTGGCAGGGGGAGGCGTGAAGGAACAGGGCCCCCAGAGCCAGCCCGTGCCACCCTCCTCCGGTCAGCAGCCCCAGCTCCAGGCTCGAAAACAAGGACAATTGGACACCCAGGCCCCAGTGGGCCTGAGACTTCAAGCACTTCCCTCTGCCTTCGGCGGCAGCGGTTGTCAATAATGCCCCTTTGTTCTCCGCAGGCCCTCCTCCCTGCGGTCTGCCGGCTTCCCGACCTCCTCCTCTGGCTGGGATGAAGTCAGCTGTCTACCTCGAAAGGAAGGGGTGTGTGTGTGCGTGTTTCCCTTACGTCTTAATTATGGCTCCCGATTCCGTGTAATACGGAAAGGGCCCGTTCCGACCGCACTGGCAGGGGAGCTGAATCCCTCCGTTGTCCCACCGGCGTCAGCCCTTCCCCAGGGCGAGCGGTGAGCAACTATGACAGACACGCCACAGGGGGTGGGGGGCATGGCGGGCTCCGGAGCACCCACTCCCAGGGTCGGGTCCCCGCCCTGTGACTCTGGCCGGGAAAACCAGTGTACCTCTCTGAGCCTCAGTTTCTCGCATCTGTAGAATGGGGCCCGCCGTGGGGGCCGAGACGCCCCTCCCCCCCGTCTGGCTGCCCGATGTGCTAAGTGCCAGGAGCCAGTCATTCCCCCACCCCGTCCAGGAGGCGGCATCGCTAGCAGCGCTTGTGGAAAAGCACAGCTCGAGGAAATGAATAATGAATCTGAGAGCCGTGGGGCTGGCTGGCGGCAGACAGGCTGGAGCCGAGGATGAGGACACGGAGCCCGGCCTGGCGGAGGTGGGGGCCCTCTCGGAGGGGAGGCTGATGACTGGGCCCTGGCAGGGTGGGGGCGGGGATGCAGGTCCCCACGCAGAGGCGTGCCACCTGCCAGACCGCCCAGACCTACCCCTCTAGTGCAGGGGACTGGGGGAACAGAGTCCTCCCCTTGCCATGTTCATCCTGGCTGCAGCTGAAAAATACCAGCCTCCCCTCAGAAAAAACCCACCTCGGTTGAGCACCTACTATGTGCCAGGCCTCAGAGGGCACTTATCTCTGCCTTCTCATCCGGTCTTTGCAAGTGCTTGGGGAAATGGGTGACCCCCATCCCACAGATGGGGACACAGAGGTGCAGAGAGGGGTGACTTGTCCAAGGTCACACAGCCACGACGTAGGACGACAAGAACCCGGGTCTGGGAGGCTGGCTGCAAAGGGCCTGCTTCTTCCGGTTAGCGCACCCCACTTCACCCCACCCTGCAGGCTACCCTAGGCCCCCACCCCCCACCCCCCTGCATGCACAGATGGCTCCATTACATTGTGTTTTCCCCATTCTGTTTTCAAACGTCCTGAAGTGAGGAGTCCCCCGCAGCCAAGTCTGTGAGGTAAGAAGCTGTGTGGCTGTGACAGTAAGTGCAGGGAGCCCGCCGCACCCCGATCTCCCTCGCACGCATCAGAACCTGCCTCCGCAAGGCTGCCGATGACGCATCTGTGCGCACGCGCAGTCGGCGCAATCTGTCCCCGGGACGCAGGCTCCTGGAAGACCTCGCTCTGTTGACCCGTCGTCGGGAAGGGTCTGAACTGAAGTTTTCTGCACTGACTGCAGCTCCCCCCTGCCCCCGCCCCCTGCCCCCCAGACTAACTGAATAACTGAGCTGCTAATTGGGACTTGTGCCATTCCTCATACAACGGAAACTGTCTTGGGGGCGGATCAAGGTGGACACCCCTCCCTCCGTTTGCTCATCATTTGACACTATTTATCACCCGCCTGCGCTGCCTGGCGCAGACCTGGAGACCAGAGGCGACAGGACCCAGCCCTGCCCTCTTGGAGCTCCCAGTCCCCCCGTGAAGAGAGAACCGAACCCGGGTCCTGAGAAGGCGGCAGCACAGCTACAAGCGCCCTGCCCCCAGCCCCCCCAGTCTCTGCAAGTAAAACCCGCTCAGGTTTGTCCTATCAACTCTCGCGGCCGCCTCCCTCCCCTGGCCGCAGGCCTGCCAGGGCGGGCTCCTCTGTGGGGCCCAAACACGTGGGCGGAAGGTAGTCAGACAAGGAGAAGAAAACGCGCAAACCGCAGATTTGGAGAGTTTGATCTTTTTTTTTATGGTTTGCACGTGCATGACTGTGCTTTTATCACGTGTGCTCACAGCACCACCTTGTTTCCCGCTACAATATGACTGTTTCCTGATTCCCGGGGGTGGACGTCACTGTAGCAAATGGCCCTGGCATCCTCCCAACGGCCCCGTGGCTTCTGGGGGCTCTGTGGCTGGAACGCCCTCCAGGGAGGGGGGCTTTGGGGTCAAGTTCCAGCCTTGCCATTTACTGGCTGTGTGACCTTGGATGCGTTTCTTGACCTCTCTGGGCCTCGATGCCTCATGTATAAAATAGGAATGAACGAAAACAGGAATAAAATAGGAACAGAGGGTCCCGGGGGCAGGGGGTGGACAGGTTAAAGCAGATAACTCTGAAACGACCCAGCACACAGTAGGTGTGCACTAGGCACAGCTATATCATCTCTTCCTCACGCAGCCACCCCTCGCATGTTTCTGAGCCCCAATGTGCCGGCCGGGCCCTGTGCTCTGTGCCGGGGACACAGCGGTGAACCGGGCCTGGCGGCTCCGAGGCGCAGTCTGGAGTCTGGGGGATCATCTCCCTGGAGAGCAGCAGCTCTCCGGCAGGACAGAGTCCGAGCCCAACTCGGCTGCTCCTGCTGCCCACCAGGAGCGGGTCAGTGCCAGCCTGGACTTTCTGGTCTGAGGCAAAAACAGCTGCGGCCATACGGGCAGCTCAGTTTGGCACGTCGTGGCTTCCGGCTGTCCCCCCCAAACAGGATAAAACCCACGAGGAAGGCGCTGTGACGCGAAGCCACCGATCTGCCGCCGTGACCCACTTGATGGGAATCTCAAAAAGGGGCTTCGGCAAGCGGCAGGGGACAAATGTGCATGTGTGGGAGGGGGTACTTTCAAGGGGGTCAGCAGCACGTTGTCAAAAACACCATCTGTCTATTCCCTTAGTGGTGGAATTTTCTGGAGTGCCAGTAAGCGGAGATCCGAGCAAGGTGCCCAGGTGGGTGAGAGGGAGGAGCCCTGGGCAGTCTGGTGGGGGCTGGGGGGCTGGGTGGGGCTGGTGGGGGGAGAAGCCCTCCTCTGTTCAGCCTCCGGAGGAGGCGCCAGGTACCAAATACTTAGAATTGCACTGGGGAGGCCCACAGCCGCGCCCGCCACCGGCTGTACCCACGCCTCATTCCAGCCCGCCCGCAGCTGCCCGGCAGCCGCCCCATGACAGCATCCCGGCCTAAGCCCCCTCTTCAGCAGCCTCTCTGAGGAGCTATTTGCAGAGGCCCCCCTTGGGGTCCGGGGGCTTCGCACGCAAGTGTTTGATGTTAAAGAGAGAGGAAGAGGAGTCCCAGCAGGTGCCCGCACTTCCCCACGCGCCCCACCCTGCCCCACCCCTGCCGGTGGTCTGTGGGCTGGGTGTCTGCGTGCGAACGTCACCCCCACATCTGCTGTCCCGTGACGAGGGCCGTTGAAGCTCCACAATGACGCCATCTGCCAGGGACAGCCAGCTGGCGCGGGGCTGACCCCCTGGTTGCCATGGCAACCAAGATGGCGTCACGGAGACGGGCAGGTGTGGCGGGGGTGGCCCTTCAGAAAAACAACGCAGCAGGCTAAGGATCTCGGCAGGCTCCCTGCAGCACCCCAGCTCACTCAGGTGGAGGTGGGCAGAGTAGAGATGGAGCGGAGATGGAGGAGGGGCCGAGGGCCAGAGTCGGGGAGGCGGTGGGCCTCTGGGTGACGAAGCTCCTGTCCTGTGCCCTCTTGGGACGCCCAGCTCTCGGGAGTCCGTCCCCGAAGAGGGAGGCTGCCTGGCTCTCACCAGACATGCTGCGTCGGGCGCCTCTGCACACACCGCTCCCTCTGCTTGGACTCTCTCTCCATCACTCAGTCCAGAAAACACCTCCCCGTCCTCCCAGACCCATCTCAGGTTTTCCTTCTCAGAGCTTCCCAAACAGAGGGGACTGTGCCCGTCTCTGGGTCCCCACGGCACCTGGTGCCCAGCTCCACCGGCACCCCCGAGGGAGGGGCCTGCACCTCTCCGGGTGCTTGCCCACCCGCCGCCGGGGAGCCGGCTGAGAGCAGAGATGGTGTCTAATTCTTCCACCCTGTCGCCCAGCCAGGGCCTGGCACGTGGAAAATTCTAGCAAATGCTAAATGAATACATGAAGTCGCTTCACTGCTCAGCCATTTGCCCAGGGTTTCAACCCTCAGAGCCTCAGCCGCCCGGCGTGGCAGAAGTGAACGGGAAGGGGTGTGAGGGTCCTTCCCAATCCCACCGGGTGGTGTGGGCCCAGGGCTGACAAGGCCACCCCTGCCCGGGGGCGCCTGCTGCACCTCAGCTTCTAATTCTGGGCACGCGGTCAGAGTGCGGGGCTACGCGTCGGCGCCAAGACCCACGGGAGGGAGAGCGTCGACTGTTTCGCTCTTTCACAGATGAAGAGATGCAGGCCTGGGCGTGGACATCAGGTCCTTCTGCCTCTTGGCACCCGCTCCGTCCTCTCCCGGTAACTGGCCCCTGATTCTTCCCTGGCAGCCTTTGTCCTGGGGGCCTGAGTGGGGCTGGCTGCCTGACGCACTCCATTCCTTCTCCAGGCCACAAGGACGGCAGGGGACCTGAGCTGGGCCAGTGACAGCACTCGCCTACACAGGACTGGGGTGGAATTACTGAGAAAGGGGCCTTTCCTGTTGGTAAATTCAATTTGAAATGAAGCCGGTGCGGAGGAACGCAGGTTGAAGAAAAACCTGTTGTAGACGATGTTTGTGTCTGGATCCAGCCATGCCTGAAGCCCACACCCCTCCAAGCAGCTCGATGTGGGGTCTGTCTCATGTGTAACAGCATCCCGACTAGTGCAAATCTAGTCAGCGCCAGAAATGAAAGTGCCAGGACCACATCCTGAATTGTACTAAAAGCAGGAAGAGGCGCAGAAGCCTAGGGGCCATGAGGCCTCAGTTTCCCCCTCTGTGATATGGGGACAATCACCCCTCTCTTCACCTCAGCCGACTCCAGTACCAAACACCTGCGGGCCTCTCGGCGGAAGCAGGGCCCCGTGACCCTGCTCTTCTGGCCTCGGGGACGTGGTGAAAGGGAGGCCAGGGAGCCGTGGACACAGACAGACCGTGAGGACCAAGGAGAAAGGACGGGAGCTTGAAGCTGCCCCGCAGAAGACCGGCCTGGGAGGAGATGGTGGCAGAGAACTCGAGAGAGAGAGAGAGACCGGGCAGGAGGGAAAGAGAGAGAAAACCTGACAATATCGGCAGCTGCGGGGGGTAGGGGGAAGCAGACTCAGGGGATAAGGGAGGCCAGTCTTCCCTGCAAGATTCACACAGAACAGGGTCCACCCTGCTGGGAATAATTTCCACGGAACGGAGAAGCTGGAGAAAACCAGGGACAACTGATCGGGCCACAGGCAGACCTGCTACAGAAATGAACTGAGGGGCATTCCCCTCTGGAAAAAGCTTTCTTGATGAAACGCCATCGACCCTAATGTACCTCTGGTGACACGTCTGCATGTCCCTGGGATCAAAGACCCCCGCCCCCCACCGTGTACAGCTTGAGCCCCCAGCCTTCAGGGACTGGCTGGGGCCACCGACGGCAGGAGCCCGCCGTGGGTGCCCCACCCACTCACCGTGGTGATGAACCTGTACAGAGGCTGCCGTCTCTCCGTGTACTTGACCGTGATGGGGCTGAGGTCGTATCGGAACCAGATGGCAGGGATGATGCGGCCCGTGTGGCTGTAGGCGACGTACTCCTGGGGTGGAGGGAGAGCAGGGGAGCGGGGGAATGTGAGATGCAGGCACACAGACCGGATGTCACGGCGGGTGGGGGCTGGCAGACAGAGGGCCCCCCTGCAGCCCACGAGGACGGGCTTTCCTCCCTCCCTCCTTGCCTCCCTCCCCCGGGGAGCCGGCCCTGCCAGCCCCTCCTCTCACACCCTTCCTCCCGAGGCTCGGCCGTCAGTGCGTGGATGGGCAACACGGCTGGGGGCGTTTTGACCCTTTCGGCTGCCTGGAAACTGCATATGTTGATTCCGGAAGCAGCACCAGAATCAAAATATGAATCGGAGTGCCGAGATGGAACAGGACAGTGAGACCTGGGCTCAGTGTGAATCAAGGCCTGGCTCAGCTCCCGGGCTGTGCAAAATCCATTCACTTGTTCGCTGAGAGTGTCCTGAGTGCCTCTCCCATATGCTGGTGCCTGGCACCGTGAAGGTGGCCGGGGACCCCGAGGGGGTGAACCCTGCCCCGTCCCCAGAGGGGGTCACAGTCTGGAGAAGGCAGGCGCAACAATACATGTAATACTGGGACATGGCATGTGCCGTGATAGAGGGACATGGGGGTGCTGTGGGGGCCATGAACAAATGACCAAGTCTCCCCAGGGGCACCTGGAAGGCTTGGCCAGGAGGGGACATTCTATGCCACACTGACATCCTGAGGGGTGTGTGAGGGACAGAGAGAGGCCTCTGGAGGCCACACGGGGAGTGAGGTTCTGTGGAGAAGGAACGCGCAGGGCTGGAAAGACGGAAGGCTCAGCCCTGCAGCACGGCCTTCTGGGACGGCCCCCCTGGCCGGGACCGAAGGATGCTCGGGACTGAATGACCGTGTGTCCTCTCCGGTCTGGGCGCTTCGGGACACTGGAAACCTCTGGGATACCCTCGCTCATCTCCAACACCTGGACACCAGGCTGCACCCCCGCAGCGCCCCAGGCCCGGTGCTGGGCCTGGTCCCAGGCCTCTGCCGTCTCTGTTCACCGTCCCCATGGGCACCGCTCCCTCTCGGGCCAGGCTGGGGCCAAGGCCACAGAGAGAGCTGAGCCAGCTGCTGTGGCTGCGGGGCCCTTGCCAAACAAAGCCTCAGGGGAAGGAGCCTTGGGCAAAACAAGATCAGCTTTCTCCGGGGAGACCTGATGGGGCAAGGTGACTGGGTCACAGCCTTGGGCTGAGGGACAGAGGGAAAAAAAAAGAGGCATTTATCCAAAGCTTTATCTGGTGCCTCGTTTTAAAGGCACTGCCTCATTTGACAGAGATCTTAGAAGGAGGGCATCATTTTACAGAGGAGTAAACTGAGGCACGGGGTGGTTATGGGACTTAGGGACTGAGCCGGGCCTGTACCGGTAGTCTCTTCCACAGCTCATGCTGCAGCCACGGTCTCCCAGCTGCTGGGTGCCATAGGCACCCGAGGGCGACAAGGACACGCCCTCCAAGAAACAACAACAGAGTCAGAGAAGCAGGCTCCCTTTTGGAGAGTTATCTGAGCAGAGGGCCCTCCGGTCACCCGGAGGGAGGAGCTCGCCGCCCAGCAGACTCCCGCCCCTGCTTCAGACTGAGTGGCGATGTGACCAGGGGGCCGGGCTCTGGAGCCCGCTGAGAACCCGGTTCTATTCCCCACTTGGCCATTTTGTAGCTCAGTGACCACCCTTCTGTGCCTCAGGGGTCCAGTCTGTGAAGTGGGGACAACGCGAGTCCCAGTCTCAGAGCTGTCGTGAGGACCAAAAAAGATGATGGAGACACCTCAGCGAAATATCCAGCCCACTAAAGGTGCCCAAGAAGTGACAGCTACACTGACTGTTACTATTACTAACTGAGCTAAACACTGTATCACTTAGGAGGGGTTGGGCAGCCCTGAAACGGAAGAAAAAGGAGCTTGGTGGGAAAGGGGTCAACGAGGCGTGGGGGGCGGGGGTTCGACCATCGGGTTCAGGCACTCACAGGGTCCTCTCCGAGGAAGCCCGAGGCTCTCAGCTTGCAGCTGGTCACCCCATTCTCCTGGCTCTGACCATGCCCTGCCCCCCCCACCCCACCCCCCAGGCCTGCTGGCTTCTCCATGACTTTGAGTCTTGGGGTCCTGGGACATTCCTGTTAACCAACGGCCACTGGGGGGATTCAAGAGCCTCATGATTTTGGATAAGGTGCTTGTGTCCTGAAAACCAGAGCATCTGTCGTGTGCTGACCAATCAGGGTCTGGAGTCTGAAGGACCAGGGCCAGATGCAGGGCTCTGGAGACACTTGCCACCCCGGGACCTGGGTGAGGAGGCCACCTGCCTGCTCTTTCTCAGACTCTCTGGCGCCTCTGCTCTCGGCCAGCAGAGGGCGCTATTGCACGCAGCGCAGCGCAGTCCAGCCCGGCCGCCCGCGTACCTTATTGGCCACCGTGTACTGGTAAGAGTAACGCTGCTTGCCGCTCTTGTCTTCGTAAACCGTGGGCACGATCTTCAAGATGTAGTCGTGGGAGGCGAGGGCTGCGGGAAGGACACAGAGGAATGAAGCAGGGGGACCGGCACCGCCTGGCTGGCAGCTCCAGGTCACTCCAACCTTAAACTCGCTTGGCATTGCCGGTGGCTGTGGGGGGGTAGGGGTGGGGGTGGGGCTGCAGGCTCCCCGTTTCCATCACCAAAGGACCCCTCTTCATTTTCTCCCATTGACCCCTGGCATTGAAAGACTACTCCTGCACTGCACATTACATTTCTGGAAACCAGGCATCGTCCATCAGGAGGGTAAGCACTGAAAGGTGGGTGCTGGGAGAGGCCATGTTCCAAGAGGAACTGTGATGTCAGAAGAACCGAGTTACATAACGGGGTGAATAATGCGTTTCCGTGCACGGGGCACAGGGAAGGCTCACGCTCCCCTCGTGCAAACATACGTGGAAGAATTCTCTGGAAAAATACCCAGAGAGCTATTAGCCGTTTTAGCCTCTGAGGAGGAAGGCAGGATGTGATCAAGATCGCATTTTATCGTGCGCCCTCTGCTCCTGTTTGAATGCTGTTACTTTGAAAACAAACTGGGTTTGGGTTTTAAAAAGAAAGAGCCCGCAAACCATTTCTGGTCTCTATGAAGAACTGATGACTTTCTTTCCCCATTTTTCAATGAACAGGAGACCTGTTCTGCCTCCACCTGGCCCTGCTGCAGATTCCAGAGTAACTCTCACCCCCTCCCCTATAGGGTGGGGAGGCCTCAGAGGGCAGGGGCCTTACTCATGCCCACGTCCCCAGCACCCTGCATGGGCCGGGTACGGAGCAGACAGCGGCTAATGCTTATTGAATGAATGAACAGGTGGAGGGATGACTGGTCAAAAGCATGAATGGGAGAGCAGATGAATCAGCTTCTGATAAGAATGAGGTAACCGGAATTGAACGCTGGGCTGAGAGTGCTGGCCCAACGCTGCCAGATATCGCCAGGGAAGGGTATGAATTCCCTTGGGCCTTCTGGGACGCTCAGAGAAGCTCAGGTCAGGGGTCGTGGAGCTGAAAGAGCAGAAACCAGAGATGTAGGCCCGAGGGTTGTGATCCTGGCCTCCTGGCTGAGTCAGCCCCGAGCCCTGCACTCATCTTGTGTAAGAGGTGGGGGATACAGCTGGTGTCTGCGGCCTCCTCCTGCTAACGCCGCGTCTCGGGAAGGAAGGGACAGAGCGTCCGGAGCTGTCTGCGGACTGGAGTCCTCTGGGAACCCGAGAAGAGCCCTGCAGCCTCGGGGCTGAGCCCACGAAGGCCCTAATGCCCCTCCGCTCGACCCCGAAGCGGTCCTCAGATAATAAAAGCACCAGAGTCACCGGGAAAGGCAGACACCTGGGCCTCACCCCCCAAAGGTGTGCCTAGGCTGGATGGAGCTCAGAAGCCGTCTGCACTTGAAAGCAGGAGCCCAAGACCACCCTGGAAATACAGCGTTCCAAGTGCCCACCGCCCGGCTGGAAACCTGAGGGCATGGGAATCACGTCTGTAATGGTTCTATTAAACAGAATGGAGGGGCCGGGAAAGCAGGGGATTGTGGGACGACGAAGAGGGCGAAGGGCGTCAAATACACCCTCAGGTGACGGAAGGAGACCAGCCTGAGTTGTGGCACTCAGTGGAGTATACAGACGTTGTATCACAGTCATGTACTTGCAATTTAACGTTACTAAACCATGTCACCCCAATAAATTACAAATAAATTCAAAAGAGCTCCATTAAAATGTGTACAAAAAAATGACCAGAAATAAAACAAGTCCACCATCCACAGGAAACCTCGGATTCTCACTCTTGTGTGCAAGCCGGCAGACTTGTGTGTATACACGTGTTTGCATTTTCCTAAAATTGGATCACACTGTACCGTTTTCTGAAAACAGAACGCCACAGACCCCAGAGGGCAGGCCCCACGGTGGGGTCGGTCATGCGCACTGCCATGCCCCCAGCACGGTGCCTGGCGTGTAGTAGGTGCTCAGTAAACGCTGGCTGCCTGAATGTCAGTGAGGTTCTGCCATACTGTGGTCACACGCATCCTGCGTGACACTGTCCTTGCCCCGAGCCCCCATGGCTAGACACAGACCTCATGTTCACTCTCATAAACGATGACCTAATGGACATCATTTCCCTAAGTCGCTGGACACTCTTAATTCTCCCCTTAGCTTCCTCTCTCATGAGTAGAATGGATGACTCAAACGCCACGACCGGTCTCAGAGCCTTTGATACGATGTGCCAGATATCCACTAGAGACCCTGCACCTCACACGCCCACATGGATTCCTCGTCACTCAGCTGACCCCTCCTCGGGGCCAGCGGCTCCAGCGCCGTCCACGCAGGCCCACGTACCCTTCCTGCTCCCTCCGGCCCTGCACGCATCTCGTTACGGAGAAGCTCAAACATGTAAGACGCAGGAATCACGAAGGAGCTGCCCTGCACCCCTTTCCGGAGTCACAGTGAACAGCATCGGCCAATGCGCTTCGACTCGACCCCGTTGCCCCTCCTGTCCCATTTGATGTTGCAGCGAACCCTAGACATCACATCAGTCCATCCACAAGCACGTGAATGCTGTCTCCCTGAAAGGTAAGTCCTCCCAAGAAAAGAAAAACACCCACCACCACTAGGCCACCGTCACAGCTCAAACGTCAACAACTTCAATGTCGTCGGGATCTTCAAAGAGAGTGGCCTGAGCTGAGAAAAACAGTAAATACGTTCCTTGGGAGGAGTGGGGTGTCCTACAGAGAAGGTGGTCAGGGAGGACTGCCAGGTGGTGGCGTCTGTGCCGACACCCAGACGACAAGAGGCAGCCCCCTGGGAAGACGTGAGTGCAGAGGCCTCCCCAGGGCTGAAAGCCCCCCAGCGCGGGACCGAGGCTGAGAGCTGAGGAAATGACAGGCTGTCCTCTGTCCTCTGTCCTCCATCTGGCCCTCTGCCACTGGACCTAATGTGTTTTTCTCACCACCGAGCAGGCCTGGGACGGCTTTCACCTTAGCCCCCAGGTAGGCGCGGTTTCCTGTCCGGACCCTCTGCCAGCTCCCACACTGGGGCCTCGAGCTGGATCGGTGTCCCATCCCGGACAGCTGAGGGGTCCGTGCTAACTGTGGGCACGTGTGCACGGCCACCTGGGGGCCCCACGCTGCCCTAACCCAGACCCCTGACGACTCCCCGCCGTCTGTCACCTTCACGCACACACACAGGAGGTGCCATCACGAGCACGGGCCACTGGGAGGCCACTGGGGAGCTGACACAGGCAGATACCGGACGTGTCGGCGGCACTGCTGACACAGCGAAAGTGCAAGGCGGGGGGGCCTGGCAGAGCCGCTGGGTGGGCGGCCGGACCTCCGTCACTGCCGGAAACACTGGACAGGACTGTGGTTAGTTAGGTCATGGGGCCGAGGACAGCAATCAGAAGGTACACTGCTGCCCACGCTTTGAACAAATGCCTCCTGGCCGTGGCCGAGAGCCCACAGGGACACGGAGGGAGGAAAGGAGGGTTCCCTGGGGGCGGGGCGGGGCCTGGGGAGGTGGTTTCTCTCTTTGAGGTTCCTGATGATTGGCGAGTGGAAGGTATTTTAATAGAAATGTTAGTGGGGAGGGTTGGGTGGGTGGGCTGGAATGGGAGCAAAAGGGAGAAGACTGTACTTGAACAATGATTAAAATAAAATTTTAAAAAAGGAAAATGTTCTATTTGAATAAAAATAAATAAATAAGAATTAGTGCTTAAAAAAAAAAAAAGAAATGCTGAGAAAAGCCTTATGGGTAAGAAAGGTGAGCCCGGGTGGACGAGGCAAGGTGACCGGCCCTGCAGAGTCCTGCGGGCAGACGGGCCTCCCAGGCCCGGTCTGCGTTCACGTCCAAGGCCCTGAGCGTGCGTGCGCTCTCCGGCCGGTGTGTGGACACAGGACACTGCAGCCCGGGCGGAGGTGACATGGAGCCGGAGCCGGGAGAGGACTCGGGAGGGGGCCTCCGTGGGGGGGTTCAGCAGGAAGAGAGGGTGGGGTGGGGGCGGCGGCCCAGGTGGCTAGAGCCCACGGAGCCGCCCACAGACCCGCTCTCAGGCAGCCCCGCGATCGGGGAGGGCTGCCGGCGGGGCCACCGCTCCCTGTGGGACCTCAGGCGAGTCCCTGAAGGACTGAGAACGGGAGCAGTGGCTACGGTCATGGCTGCCCGTGACACTGACGGAGTGCCCGGGGCTGCTGCCGACCCTCCCCAGGGCCAAGACAGCTTCGCTCCCCTTCTCTGAAAGACAGAGAGAGCTCCATCTTCCTCCCAGGCTGGCTGTGGGGAAGAGAGGCCTGGCGTACAGGCAGTGCCCCACGCCGGCCCCTGCCCTCCCCCAGTCCCTCTGGGCAGCCCCGGGAATCCCGGGGCAGGAGGCTGCTCCCGGGGGCGACACTTACGGTTGGAGGTGAGTCTGTCCGCTCCCCCGAGGGCATTGAACGCTCCGTGCACATTCTGGACCTGCGGAGAGGCACGGCGAGGGGGCTGACCTCAGGAGGCCGCCCCCTCCGGACCTGGCCCCGGCTGTCAGGGGACGGCCAGGTGCGATCTGGTTTAGGGACCCCCTCTGTTTGTAAAATGGGGGTCTGTCTCATAAAGCAGTTGTGGGGAGCAAGATCCAGACACCGCACAGGCCTGGCACACAGTAGGCACTAGTGTGCTTCCCATCTTGGGCACCTACTATGTGCACTCTGTCCTGGGTACTTGGGGGCCCGGCACAGAGCCTGGTGCAGAGCAGACGTCTCTAGAGTCTGAGGAATCCGTGACTGTCCAAGGCAGAGAAAGGAAGGCCCAGAGCCGGACACACCTGGTGTCTTACAAGCTGCGTGGCCTTGGGTAAGTTACTGAACTTCTTTGAACCAGTGTCCTCATCAGGAAAAGTAAATCACATCCCACATCACTGAGGGAGGTTTTCTTTTTTTTCTTTTTTTTAAAGATATTAGTTACTTATTTTTAGAGAGAAGTGAAGGGAGGGAGAAAGAGAGGGAGAGAAACGTCAATGTGCGGTTGCCTCTCGCACGCCCCCTCCTGGGGACCTGGCCTGCAACCCAGGTTTGTGCCCTGACTGGGAATCGAACCCGTGACCCTTTGGTTTGCAGGCCGGTACTCAATCCATTGAGCCACCCCAGCCAGGGCTCCTGAGGGTGTTTTCGATAGGATTAAAGAAGGGGTCGCCTACAACCCTGTATTCTGGGTGACAAAGGGCAGGCTTCCGTGCAGGCTGAAGGTGTCTGGAGTGAGGCGTGTGTGGGGTATGGTCAGTGCAAAGGCTGGGTCTGAATTCTGGCTGCACGTGCACGTAAGTGACGTGACAGTGGACGTGCTTGTGTGTGTGCACGTGCACCTGCGTGTTCACCTCCAGCAACCTCAGTCAGGAAACGGAACTCCCACCAAGCAAGGCCCGGGGTGCTCAGGGCCAGGCTGCCAGCCCCAGCGCCGTGGCCAGGCAGCTACTCTCCCTCTGAGCCTCGGTTCCCTCTGTCACACAGGCTGCAAGAGTCTCTACCTCCAAGGCCATCAACGCTTCCCCGCCTGCAGCTGGCAGAGTCGGGCTGTCAGCGTCTGGTCCTCCGTGTTTGCTGCCGGGCGGGGCCCGCTGCCCTCTCGGTCACACGACAAGGACTCGGGACACCTCGTTTACCGCGCAACCCACTGAGCAGCATGGGCCTGAGTGGAGAGGCCGAGGGGGCCGTGGAGGGGAGCGGGCTGGCTGTGCAGACAGACAGATCTCGGGGGTCCCTGCACCAACGGCATCCCTGGTCCCAGCTCCACGCCTGTAAAATGTGGTGCCCCTCCCACCTCCCGAGGCTGCGCTGACAGAGACGAAGCATCAGCACTGAGTGCTTGCTGGCGAAGACAGGTCCCTTGCCCCAGGCCCCAGGCCAAGGTGGCTCCAAGGCCAGCGTGCTGCTGATGAAACGGCAGCTGCGTGCTCAGAAGGAGCAAAACAGAGGGGGTGCGGGGTGGAGCAGAGGCTCAAAGGGGGCGGCCCCGCTGGAGGGCGTCGCTCTGAGCCCGGGAAGGACAGACGGCTCTGGTGACACAGCCCGTCCGCCCGTCCCTGGCCACTGCCGCCTGCAGTGCGGCTGCTCACCTGTAGCGTGTCCCCGAAGGAGAGCTTGTGGATGACGTGGGTCATGTCCGGGTTCTGTGGCTGGGCCGTGGCACTGTGTGTGGACACGTGGAAGTTGCCCGGGACCTGGGAGAGAGGCAAGTGTCAGGAGTTGGGTGGGCTTCCCCAGCGGGTGGGGCGCAGGGCTTCGCCCGGGAGCCAGACAGATCTACACGTGGACCGTAGTGTGGTCGGGCCACGAGACCGGAGGGGCCACTGCCCGCCTCTGGGCCCCGGCTTCCTCCCGGGCAGAAGGCGGCGGCGACGGCAGCCGCCCAAGGGGGCCGTTTGGCTGGGGCAGAGGGGACAGCGTGTCTGTGAAGCACCCTGCGGGGCACCCAGCGCACGGCCATGGACCGAGACAGCGGCTGCCCGCCACCCACTCCTGGCCGCTGCCGGCTCCACCGTGGGGTGGGGGCGACCTTTAGGCCTGCAGAGCAACCTGGCTTCCTGGGACTCTGAATCAACACGTCACCCATGAGGGGAAGAAGCACAGCTTACATTTCAGCAGCTTACTTTGTAAGCATGCCTGTTTCAAACCCTGCAGCCCGCTCTTGGGAACATGCGTCTTTATTAGGGCCTGGGCTGCACGCTGACGTGGGAGGAACTTGGCGGACAGCGTGTGGCTGGCCTCGGCAAGCTCGCATCGAGTGGCCAGCACGGGGTCTGGGCTCTGGGCCTGGGGGGCAGGCAGGCGGGAGGGGGCACGCCGCCAGGTCTGGGCTGAGCAGGAGGGACAGCATCGCCCGCTCAGGGCCCGATGACCTGTGACGGGGCGGCAGCTGCGTCCCACCCGTGGCTCCGGTCTGGCCCTGCCTCCCAGCTGAACGTGGTCCGTGGCTACTCTGGGTCTCAGTCTCCCCATTGGCAAAACGGGGATGACCACCTCAGGGGGTCACTGGGAGATTAAACGAGGCGATGAGTGCCAAGCCGATGGCACCGTCACTGGGTTGGGTTCGTAGGATGGACCACTCTGTCGTCGGGGGGGCAGGACCTCCCGGAAGAGGGGGTGGCAATGTCCACAGGCAGGGCCTGGGGAGGAGGCCCTGCACTTAAGAAATACTTTAAACTTCCTTCTGACTTATGCAGAGAACACGTAGAGACGTCTCTATTACAAAAACTTCACGAGATAAAGGCCGGACTCCAGTCCCCACAGCCGACCGCCCCCGGAAATGAGGACCATAGGGCGTCTGGTGTGTGTCCTGGGGTGCTTCCTGTGCAGTGACGCGGGGCCCCCTGCGGACGTGGGCAGAATGCAGAGTCGCGTCTGGGGCCCGGGCCTCCCGCTCCCAGAGGCAAGTGAGCCAAGGAGGCTGGCTCCTGCGCATCTGCCACCCGCTGCTGCCCCTCGGGCTGTGACTCAGTGACCCGCTCCCCCTGCACCCGGCATCCATCACAGGTGGCTGACTCATCCCGGCACACGCTGGGCCGGAGAAAGAAAAGCCGACGCTTTTAGAGCCTGTGACTTAGGAACCTGCGTCAGTGCCTCTGTGGATTTTAAAAATACATCGACAGAGCCAGGCCTCCAGCCCCGGCTCACCCTGCCCTCTTCCCCGGGGCGCCGGGTGATTCAGCGCGGAGTCTGGGGTGCTGGGGGCTGCCGGAGCAGCTCAGGACACGTGAACTCTGACTTCTGGCTGCTGGCCAGCCTCCTGATGGGTGGATAAGGAGGCCGCAGGGCACGTGCCAGCCAGATGCTGCGAGATAAAGGGGTGGGGGCCGGCTGCGGGCCCGGCCCGCCTCCACAGCTGGCTTTCTCCTCCGAGCTACTGCCTGGCTGGGAGCTTCTCGAAGGCACGACCCCTTAGCCGGGCCAGGGTGGGTGGGGGTCAAAGCGGGGCCTGAACTGTGCTCCGGAGTGAATGAACGCATCAGTCAGGTCACACGTGACCGAGGTGTCTCGGGGGAGACAGCGGGACCCCGGGCTGTGGGTGCCGATCTCCCTCCGCTGGGACGGGAGGCCCACCTGTCCGACGCGCGGCCCCAGAGCAGGTCACCCACCCTGAGACTTGGCAGGTGCTTGATACAAATTTTTGGACTGCATGAATGTATAATAACAGCTCATTTATCCCTCACACAAGCTTTGTGGAGGGGGCACATCATCACGTGATCATCCCATCCTCCCCCCAAAGATGTGAAAACCGAGGCTGAGATGGGCCGGGGGACTGGAGAGCATCTCTTGGCCAAGAGGGGAAGGAGCTGGGCCTGAACGCAGGGCTCGGAGCTGCCAACGCTGTGGTCTCCATCCCACGCTGCCTGATCCCGCCAGCAGGGGCTCCACGCCCCATGGAGCAGGAACCCCCACCCAGGCCCTCGGCAGGAAACCCCAGACACCTGGGTATTGACCTCAGCCCGCCAGGGGCTGGCCGGGGGAGGCGAGTGGGTGCACAGCGCGGCCATCAGGGTCTGGGGAGGAAGGGGGCAGCGGAGATCTCTGTACCTTGTTGATGCTGAACTGGCCCTCGAAGCGGCAGCCCACCCCGTTGTTCAGCGGGATCTTCATGGAGTTGTCGATGTGCCCCACCTCGTGCCTGCCCATCTCATCCTGGATGTCCAGCCCGACCACTGCGACGGCCAAGGAGAGAGGAGTCACAAACACCCAGAGCGACGGGGGCGGAGCACCAGCCCTCTCCCCCACCCCCTCCATGGACAGGCCGGGCCCTCCAGGAGCTCACGGTCCGGGGCCCAGAAACACAGAGAGGAAGTCAGGCCGCAGGGGGCGAGGACAGAGGGACCCTGGAGGAAGAGGGAGCCAGCACTCCCCCGTCCCCGCCACTGCCCCCGCTGGGAAGGAAGAGGGGAAGGAGGGGAAGGGGCAGCAGCCAGTGGGGCCGCTGAGGCAGGACTGCAGGGTGCGGGGGTGACGGCTGCCCGAGGTGGGGCTGTAGGCCGCAGAGGGTCAAGGTTAGGAATCCCGGCCTGAATCCTGGCCCTGCCTGCCTTGTACCAGCTGTGTGACCCTGGCCGAGGCCCTGAACTTCCCTCTGCCTCAGTTTCTTTCTTGGGAAATGGGGTGATAACAATGAAACCGTCCTTGGAGGAGTGCGAGGATCCAATAGTTAATACGGGTAGAAAACGCTTGGAATGGGCCATAGTGCACAGGAAGTGGCAGCTGCTTAATAAACTTCACCACTTAATGAGTCTCAGACAGAATCTGGGTTCACTGGTCAAACAGGCTCATTCGCTCATTCACTCATTCATTCATCATTAGTTCACTCATTCACTCATTCATGCATTCGCACCTTCCCTTACCCCAACGCCTGTTCCTCCAGGCCCCACCCTGCAAGAGCTCAGGCTCGATACACTAAATGGGAAATCTGGGGCATCCTGGCCCCCGACCCCAGCGTGGCTCTACCGCCCCTGTGACTCAGCTTCCCAACCTGGGAAACGGGCAGGTGCATGCCCACTGCTTGTCCCGAGATGGTCCAAGCGGTGGAGGTGGAGGTGGTGGGGTCCCCACAACCTACAGAAACGCAGCAATTCCCCTGGAAGGAACGCTGGGAAGGAGGTTGCTGTGTATAGAAAGAGCAGCTGGAGGTAACGTTTTAAAGGAGCCAACCCTGCAAGGGAGCCACGGGAACCACTCCCACGCCCTCGGTGGAGACGGGGAAGGGAGCGAGAGCCCGCCCACAGATGAGGATGCGAGGCAGCCCTTACAGAGGATGCTCAGGGGTCTGCAGTAGGTGGGGAGGTCGATGCCATCGTGTTCCGTTTAAAAGAAGACACACGCGGATCCCCATGTGAGTCAGCAGTCGCGTCCCGGGAGCCTGTGCTCCGCATGCACATGGGACCAGACCGGTGCGCAAGGCTGCCGGGGGGGGGGCAACCGCATCTGAGATCGCGACAGCTGGAGGCAGCAGCCCACTGCCTGTCAGCGGGGGCCTGGCCCATGGAACGGCCCCCTCCGGAAGGCCGGGCAGCGGGCACAGGAAGCAGCGGGAGACGCCGCCCACGGCGGGGCAGCGGCGGAGTGCGGGGGTGCGCTTCACACACGTTACCTAACCCCTCTGTTTCTCCGTCTCCTCCTCCGTCCTAGGTTTCTGAGGCTAAAGGGAAAACTAAACCAGCACTTACCATGCGCCAGACACCTCTCTAAGCGCCTTTTATGTAAGAAGGCGCCGCCCGCACACTCCCCTGGGGAAGGGAATGCTATCAGACCCATCCTTTCTGGGGAGACACCGAGGCACAGAGAGGTGAAGGAGCTCGCCTGGGGCCTCACGGCTAAGAAACGACGACGCTTGGGTCGGAAGCCACGGAGTCTCAATCCAGAGCCCAAGCCGTTTCGACTTTCCGCTAGAACACCCCTCGTCTTAACGCCACGCTAGCACAGTCGAAGCGTTCGCGGTGGGGCCCGGGCCGGGCTCAGAGCCCACTAAGTGCCTGCCGGGGTTACTGTTTCACTAATCCGATGAGTAATGTAAGAACAGCCCCAAGACATTAGCTGAAAAAAAGAAGCCCCAGAAAGGCCCCATACAGCTGGGTCCCCATCACGGAAAAAGAAGGTTGTTGATGGACAGACAGGCAGACAGGCAGGCGGACACAGGACACGGGGGTGGGGGAGGGGGTCCCCACTGTTGGCAGGGCCTTCCTCTGGGGTGGGTGGCACTCTGGGGGAACATGGGTTCCTTTCAGTGTTCTCTTGATCTGTTTCTATAGTCTGTATTTGGAACGTGTTATCCTTCTACAAAGTAAAAAATGTATTCCTGTACTAGTTGTGTAACCAAAAACCCCCATCGTTTTAAAAGCAGGACATGGGACGGCACAGCATGACCTCAGCGGGCGCAGAAATGGCCCGCGGAAGGGGAGGCCAGCGGGACAGAACGGCCCGGGACGCCCACCATGGCTGTCGTGGGAGTGAAGGATGGGCTAATGCTCCTCTCTCTGCTGCTCTGGATTTTCCCCAAGTACAATGGCGAGCACACAATTTTTCTTCTGTAATGTAAACTTGATACAGGGCTCTGGCAGAAACTGCTGGGGTTCGGGCGATGGCCCCGCAGGGCAGCAGGGCCCCACAGGCCGGCGCAGCTGCAGTGGGAGGTCGCCGGGCCCCTCTTGGGCCGCTGCCTGGAGCTGGGACAGAGCCTAGAACCACATCCCTTCCCTCCCCTGCCCCACGGGTCCCGGTCCTCTGGCCTAAGAATTTCCCTGTTCCAGAGACATGACCAACTCCTGAATGAGAAGCTGCCAGATGAATTATTTTTCTAAGAAAAAGAGAATAAGACAAAAATAAAACTGACCTATTCCAACAGGTTCCCTGGCTTGGGGCCCACTGTGGATTCAAAGTTGTGATGTAATTCTCGGCAAGAGCGGTCACAGGGCTGCCTCCCGGTCGCTGCCTGCGGACCCACCCAAGGTGCTGCCCTCCAACAGGAAGGGAGGGGGTGCGCGCCAGGCTGGCGCAGAGAAACAGCTAGAACCCCAGTCCTGGCGGAGACACTCAGTCCCCTCACCCACAGGTCTAGGCACCAGCTTATCATATCCTCTCGACAACTTTGGGCAATAGTTTAGCACTGAGCCCATTTTACAGATGAGGAAACCGAGGCTCGGGGAGGTTGCCGTAACCAGGGTCAGACAGGTTTAGTGACCAGAGGAGCCAGAATCAGATGCCACACGCCAGACTTCCAATGAGTTTTGTTGACACAAGTAATTCATTCTCTTGGTTGAAACAAAGCAGACAAACAAGGTAGCGCCTGACGTGGAAAAGGAAGTGTTGTGACAGCTACCAAGGGCTCAGAGCTGCCTCCTCCTTCTGGTGACTCCTGGTTGGGTGAAGGGCTCCCTCCTTCAGGCGCTGGGGAGGTTCTATGACCCCCCACTCACCCCCACACACCACCCTGCAGTGGTCAGTCAAGGACACCAAGGATGAGGATCATGACAGCCGGGCCCTTTGCCACCAGGTGGGACACACTGAGGTGCCCTTCACGCGCCACACATCTCTGCTTGTCCTCTCGCCTCCCTCACGCCCTTACCGGTTCCTCCTGAGAGCGCCCTCCCTCAATAAATCCATTTCCAGAGAACCTGACTCTGCTTCTTGGGAACCTGAAGGAAGGAACCCCACCCCCCCGCCCGCCCCGCAACATGTATTCTCCGGAGGTAATTACGCCCCTCAGCGGTTTCTCAGTTTTTTCCTCTGGAAGCTCACCAAGCACGTTTGCATGGGGTCACATTCTCCCCCAAAGGGCTGGAGAATCTCACGCTGCCAGTGGCTGGCAGCCCGCCCTGCCCGCTCCGCTGGTCCCAGTCCTCGCGCCGCTTCAAGGAGGGGTCTCGCGGCGGATACTCACGTTCGCAGTGCAGGTTGGGCAGACTGATGTTCAGGCTGACGTCGATTTTGCCCCCGCTGTCCTTGTCCGGGTCATCGACATACAGCTCATTCACACTGCGGGAGACAAGCACGGAAGCCTTTGCTGGGACAGGGGGGCACCCACCCCGGCTGCAGGGACAGCCAGGGACCACCCCCCACGGTGACTCCTGCTCCAACAGCCGGCATCACCCCCCTGGGGGCGGGGCGGGGGGCGGGGCCTGCGCCTGCCCAGGCGCCCGGCTGCGGGGCTCCCATCCCGATGGCGAAGGCGAGGGTGCTCCCCAGATGCTGGCCTTCCCACTCGGAGGGAGGGCGTGGGGGTCGTGGCAAGAGCACAGGAGTCAGTTCCGGTTCCAATCCTGGCTCTGCCCCTCTCCGTGGGGACTCGGCAGAGGTCACCTCTGGGAACGCGTCTGTTACATGGGTGGGGGGAGGGGGAGCGGGTGGTCTAAACGTGGACAGGAGAACTGCGGGCCTTCCTAGGGGTCCGAGCCCGGCACCAGCAGGCACACGGCACCTCCCTCCCTCCCTCCTTCCCTGCTGTGAGGTCAGGGCTCCCGGGGTGCCCGTCCTCACGTCCCGGCTCTCACAAACCCTGGGCGGGTTCCAGGTCTGAGAACAACCAGTCCAACGTATCAGTTTCCTGTGGCTGCTGTAGCACGTTGGTGGAAAGGTAACGACCTAAAACAGCGCACACTTATGAGCTTCCACTTCTGGAGGCCAGAGGGTCTCCAGGGGAGAATCCCCTGTCTTGTCTTTTGCGGCTTCTGGCGGCCGCCTCTGCTCACAGCCCCTGCCCTCACCTTCCCGGCCGGCCGCACGGCACGTCCCCTCCTGACTTCCTCTTAGAACTCCTGTGAGTTCGCCCTGCCCACCTGGGTAACCCAGGACCACCTTCCCATCTCAAGACCCTAGACACAATCACATTGGTAAACTTTCTTCTTCACGTAAAGTCACACAGTCACAGGTTTCAGGGACAGGGACCTGGACGTCTCTGGGGGGAGACATCGTTTGGGGGCAGGAGGCTCCACGGACACCTTGACAGCCTGCTGTCAGGGACAGTGGCACCACACTGGGATCTGTGAGCGACACCCGTGTATGTAACCAACCCTCTGAGCACCCAGCCTGTCCAGCACCAGAGTGACAGGAAACAGAGAGACGCGGTCTCAGCCGTCACGGAGCCCCCAGACCTCCGAAGCCTCCCAGGGAAACTGCACCCACCATCCATGACCACTGCTTTCATGGGGAGCGGGGGCGCCCCGAGAGGGCTGGACCAGGCAGCTGACCTCGGGGAGAGTGGCTGGAATGACCTCTCTGAGGAGGTGGTAGCTGAGTCTGAGGGGGAGGAGGCCGTCCTGGCGAAGAGGGAGGGGGCCCTCGGGACAGAGGTCTGGGGGTGCAAGGGCAGGGCTCACTGGGGAACTGAGTGAAGGTCGCTGTGGCTGCAGTGCGGAGCAGTTGCAGACTGGGTGGGGCCTGGGTCAGGGGGGCTCCGAGCCCATGCTGAGGCCTTCGCACTTGAACCTGAGCCAGCACCGTGGTCAGGCTGCACTTTACTGGGCTCCCTGTGTCTGCTGCCAGGGAGGCTGACCGGAGGGGCCACTGCGCACTCCGGGGTCTAGACGGGAGGCTGCTGCCGGGTGCAGCTGACAGGTGCTGGCCTGGCCTGGGTGTGGTGGGGATGGAGAGCAGGCAGGACTCTCGGCTGCAGGCCTGAGGGTGGGCCGAGGGGAGCACTGGGCGACCGCCACAGATTCTTCCCGGAACCCTTCACGGGAAGAGAACCGACCGGTGGGAGGAAAGGCGCCGGGTTCCGCGTGGTGTGCTGAGCTCCAGGTGCCTGAACGCTGGGCAGCCGTGTCGGAAGCCTGGTGCCCGGGAAGCTCCCCTCGGGGAGAGGCAGCCGAGCCTGAAGGCCGGCCTAGTGGGCAGCTGAGGGCAGAGCTGGAGGCGGCCCCTGGGGTCCCTCACACGGGCTGTGACATAAGAGGCTGCAGCTCTGAATTATCACAGAGCCTGGTCGACGGCTGCTTTTTGGGGAAAGAATGAGTCAGGCCGGGGCGAGGGCATTTTGTTTTACTAAGATCCTGTCCTTGCGCCCCAGCCCCGAGGGCGATACAGCAGGTGCTCACTTAGTAAGAAATGGAGGGCTCAACAACACACCCACATTCTTATAGGGTCACAAGAATGTCCCCAGAAACAAGAGAGACCTGCACAGTTTAGCCTCCAGATTTCGGGGCCTCCCGCCATCCAGCCAGGGACGGCCGGATCTGCCCCTGCGAGATGTCCTGATCCCCACTCTGAAGGCAGGAAACTGAGGCTCAGAGAGGCTGAGTCCCACCCGCAACGTCACACAGCAGGAAATGGCTAAGCTGCCGCCCCAGCCCAGGGCTGCCTTCCGCCTGAGCCCAGGGCTTACTCTGCCTTCCTCCTTCTTGTCCTCGGCATCCAGGGTCAAGGCAGAACATGAGGGGGGACTCTGGCCCTCCGAGGCCCCAGTGTGTGGGGCGGGAAGACAAGGGCCTGGGCGTGGCAGGCTGCTGGCGTGGGCGCACGTCAAAGAATGGGAAGAACTCAGGAGCCCGTGGGAGAGGAGCCAGCGGGATCAGGGGCGGTTACGCTGGAGGACGGACTGCGCCGCAGCCAAATGCTCCTCCTCAGCCTCCAGCGCCCAATTTCTGCCCCAGCCTTAGATGGCAACTCAGGAGGGGTGCTGAGTAACGAGACTGCTCGGTGGTGATTAACAGGATGGTCACCGAGGGAGAGCTCTCGGCTTCCCTTCCCTGCCCAGTGAGACTCTTCCTTGAAGCACCTCACCTCTCCCACCTGAAAGGCGGGGCCTGGAGCATCACTGAGGGATTGTGGGATGATGTCATCCCCTGGCAATCTGCTGGAGGTGACCTCAGCTTGCAGAGCGAGGTGAGTCCCAGGTGTGGCGCCGAGGTGAGCTCACCCTTGCGGCCCCAGGGGCCCTCTCCCAGGGCAGGGGCCCAGGCTCCCCAGCGCAGCTGAGACAAAGGGACTGAGGTGCAGGGAGGGTGACAAAGGCACTCACCTGCAGAGCTCGAAGACAGGCTTATCATGTAAACCTATACCTGGCTGATCCCAGGTGCCTTCCCGAAGGCCCCAGGCTGTGGGGGTAAACCGCCCGGTCACCTGGGCTGCCCGCCTGGGAGGTCAACACGGCCGCCTTCTGAGTGCAAGGTCAATGTTCCAGGGCTGCTGGCTTCCTGCCACCCCCGGCCGGCTCCAAGAGCCCACTCACAGCCTCGAGTCACTTGTCCCTGGCAGGCGCCTGCCCAGACCAGCCAACCTTACTGCCTGGGTCCGAACCGATTTTAAACCGTGACTTTAAACGTCTGTTTGGAACTGAAATAAACACTTTTTATGGACTCGCTGTTGTTTGGGGCCCCTTGTGGGCCTGGTCCCCCGTCACTAGCGAGGGTGACGAGAAGACCCGGGGGGCAGTGACAGGTAGATGTGGGCTCACCACCTGGTCCTGCCCCTGAGGAGCTGGGGGACCTGGGCCAAGTTGCTTCATCTGCCTGAGCCTGGGTCTCCTCAACTTAAAACTGGTAAAGCTTTCAGTGACGTTTAAAGTTTCCATAGGCACAATTGACCTATGGTAACAGAAGTCAGAATGGAGGGGGGGAGCGGCGGTTGCTGACTGGGAGGGGCAAAGAGAACCTTCCGGCTGGCGGAGGTGTGCCGTCCTGGGGAGGTGGTGTGGGCGTGACGTCAACACAGGTGAACACCTGTCATTAAGGTGTGCACTCGTCATCTCTAAGTTAAATATACACACACCTCACTAAAAAGGGGCGGGGGAGGAGGAAGAAGTGAGGGGAGAGAAAGAAGGAGGGAGAAAAGAGGGAGAAAGGAAGAAATGGACTAAGGATTCCGCCACCTCCCAGGGCTGTGTGAAGGCCAGGCCGGCGATGGAGCGGCAGGCTGCCGGGCAGGGGTGTTTGTCCCTCACGTAACCTCAGGGTCACAGCGTGGGCCTTCTACCAGAGTGGAAGTCCAGGCTCTCGGGGTTCGAACCCCGACTCTGCCACCCACTGGCCGACTGACCCGGTCCCTGAGCCGTCGTTTCCCCAGATCAGTAAGACGGGGGACAAAGACGCAGCACAATCTCGGCTAACGGTGAGCGCTCGGTGCCCGCCCATGGCTGTCACTGTCATCACTCCTGTCGGCGTCTACGGACAGAGTCCAGGGCTCAGCGTCGTGGGGAGGACTGAACGTGCTCCCGTGGGCACGGCCCTGGTCAAGTCGAAGGCCCCCGGAAAAGCTGGCCTTGCTGGTAACGCGTCAAAGGACATGGCCCCGTTCTCGGAGCCCAGGTGGTGGGGCTTTCACAGGTATCTCATTTAACACGCAGAACAAGCCAGTGTTGAATAGGGGTTCCTCTTCTCGTTCCACAAAGACAAAGCCAGGCTCAGAGGAAGACAGGTCAAGACCAGCCAAGGTCACACGGCAGGAAGAGGCAGAGGCGGGGCCTGAACCTAGAGACCCAGAGCCTCCAGAGCCCAGGGCCACATTCCTCCCATTGAGAGACACTGGATGGGACGGGAAGTAATGAAGAACCGAGGGGCGTGGCCCCCCAAGTCCACCTGTGGGCCAGGTGTCACCATCTTTCTGATAATCTCCAGATGCCCAACCCCCATGGCCCAAACATCCATAGGCTACGGAGGGGCTCAGGGGCCATGCCGTGTGTGCCCCATAAGCCTCCCTCTGCCACCACCTTGCACACCCCGCGGGCACCTGACCCCCCACCCCCCCGCAGAAGAGGGCTCCGCATCGCCAGCATGGAGCCGGGGCTCACGATCTCTGCTGACGGAACAGACGGGGGAGGCAATCGACCGCACTGGTGGGGGAGTCGGAGTGCATTCCGGCTGGAGGACGCCAGACAGCGTCGGGGAGTCTGGCGGACGGCATGGGGGTGCGGGGGCGCCGAGACCATGTAGGGAGCGGGAGGGAGGCCTGGGGAGGTATCGGTGGCGGGGGAGGGGGGAGCGTAGGTGGAATGTCACGGAGGGCCTTGGAGTTCTCGGCTGAGGCGTGCGTCTGATGACATC